TCCTGCTCTGCCCGTGCCGGTGACCCAGGGCAGGACGGTGCAGGGGAGCGAGTCGGGGCCGTGAGCACACTCTGCTTGGTCCGGTTTCGGTTCTTTTTTGTTGATGAAAGAGAAAGCAACAGGCTTCTGCCAGGCTGAGGGGTTTTTTTTTCTCCGCTGAATCACTTTGAAATGAAGGTGTCTTCCTAGAGCGAGGCAGGATTTTGATTTCGGTAGCAACTAGTGCTGTGACAGGTGTCGCAGGCCCAGCTTGAGGCAGATGGCGAGACGCCCATCGAAAGGGAATCGGCGTATGGCAGGATTAAAGCCTGTCCTGTAGCAGTATAAGCTGAAGAGACAACAATCAGCTGAGCTGTTTGAAAAGCATCAGCCCTAAACAAGCTGCTCAGGCATGAGCAAATACTTCTTGCCACATGCCAGCCCCCCCGCTTGATTTTTCTGCTGTGACAGACCATTTTTGGTGTTTTAACGCTACGGCGCTCTACAACCCTTAGGACCTTCCAGCTCTTCTGCAACGAGAAGAATTTGAAGTAATTGGCAGAATGCTGAAAGAGGGAGTTTAAAAGACCAGCAGAAATATCAAAGCTGTAACACCTGCCATGCTCACTTCTTATCGGGACAGTAAACAAAGTGATCAGCAGGCCCAGGGCTGAAGACTTCTGTTAACTGTTGCAACCAGCTGTTATGTCAGTGCCTGAACGGTGCTTGCAGAGCACTTTGTGTAGGTGGGGACCTGTGTTGCAATCTGACCCTGTTCACTAGAAAAAAGATTTTGCAAGGTCTTCTCCTGGAGGGAGAAAAAAATCCCAAACCAGGTGACAGATTCCATTTCCAAGCTCATTTGAAAGGGCATCAACCGAGCAGAGCAAAACTCAAAAGCAACGGCAGAAGCGAAGAGGAATCAATTCAAACACGAATTTTCCGTTTACTGAACCGGTACGGCACCTCCAGCATCTCTGCTCCCTCCCCGCACCTCCCCTCTTAGGTAAGAGCTGCAGTTCTCATGCTGGGACGCTTCAGAATTGCACTAGATTTGGCCTCTATCCTCTTAATGTCCCGCTGGAAATTGTTTAGCTGGCTGACTTCCAAGATGGTAATCAGATTTACAATAAGCAAATCGGGTATAATTAAAGGTATTATCAGATCCCCCAAACCTACCACGTACCATCTTTATCATCTGGTGTAGGAATACGTACACCCAAAGCTCAGTCTTTCCTCCACACTGCAGTGAGTCATTTTTGAAAGGCCATAATTATAAAATTTCCATTCTCCCTCTCTGCATCTGCTCATTGCACAGGAAAAGAAGAACAAGCTAAAGCAAACTTAGGTGACTTATAGATTACTCAAACCTGAAATGCTAAAGTTTTGTCTTTTTTTTTCTTCTTCTTCTTGTTTTAGGTAATTCCAAAGCATAAGTTTGTCCTTGTGAAATTCGATACACAATATCCGTATGGTGAGAAACAAGATGAGTTTAAAAAGCTGGCAGAGAGCTCAGGCTCCAGTGAAGATCTTCTGGTGGCTGAAGTGGGAATATCAGGTGAGGAACTCTGGACAGATTAGTACAGGATGGGTTGGTGTGGAGGAAATAAAATCCGCTGCAATTTCAGATGAAAACAGGCTCTGAGGTAATTGTGATAGTGAGAAATGAGATGGGCCCGGCCCTGTTGGACCAAAGCACCTGCTCTGGCCGGTCGCTGAGCTCTGCCGCTGTGCCTCCCGCGGGGA